GCCTCCACGCGGGCCGGGGCCGGGGTGTGCGAGCGCCACTGGGGGGTGGGAAGCAGGGGGCGTTGGAGGCGCCGCGGGGGACGACGCACGCGAGCCGGTGGCGGAGCTTCGGTGGCCAGAGACGGCGGTCAGGAGGAGGGGCTCGCGCCGGTGCGGTTTGGCCCGGGAAGGTTCCGCTCCGGCAGAGCTGGTCTAGGTGCTTCTGTCGCCCGTATTTCCCGCCCTCTGGTTGCCCAAGGGGACGCGGGAGCGTCGGCGTCCGGAAGGGCCGATCAGGGCGCAGCGGCTGGATGCCGGAATTGGTGGGAGAGCGGAGGAAGGAGGCTGCTTCTCTCGCTCGGCGGCCGCATTTCCGAATCCCTCTCTGCGCTCCCCGGGCGCCGCTCTGACTCCCCACCCCACCCCACCCCAAGTCCCGCAGGCCTAACCCCCTTCCCAGTTCAGACACCTCGTAAAAGCCGGGTCTGCCGCAGCCGAAGAGGGGAGCAGAAGTGAGGAGACCCAGATCCCCTCCCCCCGACCCTTTACGGTGGAGACAGACGTCGGAGGTCTCGGCCTGGGCCTTGTTTGGGGCGAACAGATGGCTGACATTTTATGTTTGAAGGGTTCGCAGTTCAAGCAAGGCTACACAATAAATGGTCCTTCTGAGCTTCAGAGAAACCCTGCGCAGTGGGACTGTGCTTCCTGGCCCAAAGAGGGTGAAGGTTACAGATGTTTAAACTGAGGAGGGGCAAGTCATTAAGAGAATTTCACCTCAAGTCTTGCGGCCGTGAGGGACCAGCAAGAATTAGGGCCTCTGGACCCCTGTTGTTTGCTGCTCTCAAGTCTGCAGCCAACTCATGGGAACTCCATGCACAATGGCATCCCACCTTTGTGATCCATAGGGTTTTCATTGGCTGATTTTTGGAAGTAGATCGCCAGGCCTTTCTTCCTAAGCTGGAACCCCTGCTGAAAGCTGCTCAGCATCATAGAAACACACAGCCTCCACTAACAGCTGACTGGTGAATGAGCTTAAAAACCAAACTCGTTGCTGTTGAGTCAATTCCAACTCATAGCGACCTGCCCCATAGGGTATCCAAGGAGCAGCTGGTGGATTCAAACTGCAGACTTTTTGGTTAGCAGCCGTAGCTCTTAACCACTGCACCACCAGGGTTTCTGGATGAGCCAGAGGTGCAGGTATTTGCCGTCACCCTCTGCTCAACATAGCCCAAAGGCTCAGAGGAGTCTTCCTGGGTTCACTTCTAATTTTCCAGACTCCAAAGCTTGGGAGAAAGCATGTCCCAGGTCCTTGAGCAGATCTCATTCCCAGGAGACCACCTCCCCTTCTCTTCCACCACCTGCCCCACACTGAAGTTGAACTCTTGCGGAAGAGAAAGCAAAGTCTCCATCTGCCTGTGGGAGACTGGACTGGGTAGTACTGGTTTCCTTCAGACCCTGTTTCAAGGGCAAGCAGTTAGTTCTCCGAAGAGATGTCGCTCTGCCCAAGTGGGTGTGGAGAGAACACAGCTTGGGTGGAGGACCCAGGCAGATCCCTTAGTGATGTTGCTCTCATTTCCTTGTTCTGGGTGCCTCTGTTTCCTTCTCTAAATGAGGAATAATCAGGAATAATCAATCCTGACTAGCAGAGTTACTGAGCTCTCCTGTTTGTCTAATGCCTAGATGCTGACATCAGCAGATGTCCTAAAACAAAGGAATGAAGCTCTTGTTTGTGAACACCGATGGAACAAAGGACAATCCAAAGGGCAGCCAGAGATCTTGCTTGAAGCTCGCAGGTTCCAGTAGGAACTACCCCTTCTGGCTTAATTGTCCTAAGCTTTTAATCCCCTTTCAGGAGTTCCAGTCAGGTCCATGGCCTGGAGGAGAGGTCTGGGTAGGAACCAAGGACCCCCCACATGGCTGCTACAGGCAGAGGCTGGGCGTAGCTGCTTTAGCAAACAGCCCATCCTCTGGCACTCTGGAGACCCTGACCGTAGGATCTGTCCTGGCAGCCTTTGCTGTAGCTCCCAACCCTGTTACCTGTTGGGAAACCAGCTTTGGAGTGTTTGGGGATCTGACTCGCATAGCTCTGCCCACTGCTGCTCTCAAGCAGATAAAACACGGACGCGGGAGGCTGCTGGTGCACAGCCCTGGCTGACTCTTCACTTCCCAGACCGGTCCTTCTCCTGAACTGATACCTCCCTGGCAGTTCCTTCTCCAGCTTCCCCCCAACCTTGTTAAATCTTTTGTAGCTTAGAATACGCCCTTTACATTTCTTCTGTATTTATCTCAACACAGTGGTTAAGAGTCTGGGTTCTGGAATTGGGTCACCAGGATTCAAACTGTCTCGCCACTTCCTACCCAGGTCATCTCTGGCTTATTTAATCTTTCTGTGCCTCTATTTCCTCATCCAGAAAACAGGGATGATGCTGTCTACCTTGCTGGGTGGCTGTGAGGGATCATTCAGTCATTCAACAAACATGCCTCGAATACCTACTAAACACTTGTAGTGCTAGGTTCTGCTCCGTGTGCTTGGGGTACATCTGGGAGCACAACTGTCTACTATGGGAGGTTGGGAGGTGGGGGGATAAGCAAATTCAACAACATGATCTGTTATGTTTGATGCATGCTGGGAGTGCTGGAGAGGGGTTGGTAATATTCACAGTGTTAAAGAGTCAGAGCAGGCTTCATCGGGAAAGTGGCATTTGAGATGAGGGAATTAATCAAGCTCGTAGCTGGGACAGCAGTGTCCCAGATAGAAGCCACAGTGACAGCAAAGCTACCAAGGTGAGTGCCGCAAGGTGGTCAGTGAGCGAGGTGAGAGGGACTTCAGAGAGCTCCGGGGGGGGGCACTGGAGGCCGTGGGAAGGTCTTTTCCTCTGCGCTGAATGAGGTTTAATCGGATATCACGGGTAAAGCGCAGTGAGCACTGCTCATCATCACGTTCAATGTGTGTGTTTTTATTTGGTTTTTATCATGTTGCTGATTTTGTATATTTTTATGAAATGCTTACTGTGAATCCACAATTATGGGTCATCCTTGGGGACACCATGGAGGACAGAATAAAGGTCCTGGCTTCAAGACCTGGAAGAGAAATCAGGTAATGAACAAATAACTGTAATTTGGTGGTAAGTGTTGTGAAAAAAAGAACAGAGTGAGGAGGAGAGTGCCAGGTGGTCAGGTGGGGCGCTGTGAGGAGGGAGCATTAGAGCAGAGCTAAGTGGAGGGAAAGCCGTGTGATATTTGCGGAAGAGGGAGCAGCAGGCATGAAGCCTGTGGAGCAGGAGCGCGTTCAGCGTGGCCCAAGAGCAGCCAAGATGGCAGCAAGGCTGGGACGGGGTGACGAGGGCAGAGCGCTGGAGGAGGACTGTGGATTTTACATCTAGACAGTTTCTAGGAGGGGCATGGCCAGGGCTGATTTTGCTTTTAATCTGAACGCTGTGGAGAACAGATTGGAGGGACCCCAGCAGAAGTAGCTGCCTCGTTATGTGCTGCTGTAGAAATCCAGGCAAGAGATGGTAGTGACTTGGAGCTGGCCAGTCGAGGTGGAGCAGGCGAGTGGTGACTGGATTCAGGCTCTGTGTTGAAGGCAGAGCAGAGATTTCCCGGCGGATTGCTGTGGGGTGTTAGAGGAGTAAAAATGACTGTAGCTGTGGCCTAAATTGGGTGAGTAGAGGGGCCATCTACTGAGACTGGGAGAGTGGGGGAAAACAGGTTTTGGGGAAGTTGGTTTTGGACTTGGTTTTGAGATGCCCAGTAGAAAAGTAGTGATAACCCTCAGGAGAGGAAGCTGAGGCTGGAGGAGGAAATTTGGGAGTGAATAGCATGTAGCTGGAGTTGAGACCCCTGGGGCTGGTTGCTTGCAGGGTCCTGGAACAAATGAGTGAGTGGGTATGGAGAAGCAGTCCTAGGACTGGAAGTGGAAGAGGAGCCGTGAGGTAGAGGGATAACCAGGGGCCCTGGAATCTAAGAGAAGCACTGCATTTCAAGGAAGAGGGAGGAGTCAGTGGTGTCAAATGTTGCTGAAAGGTCAAGATAGATGAGGAAAGAAAATGGACCTTTGGATCTGGCAAAGAGAGGTCCCTTGAACAGAGCAGATCATGTGAAGCATTGGCCATGGAGTGGGTTCTGGAGAGAGAGAAGAGGGTGAGGAATTGGAGACAGTGGGGCAGAGGAGAATGCCAGTGGCCAAGTGGGTGTGGGGTCCCATCTTAAAGATGGGAAGAATTTCAGTGCTTGACCAAGGCCAGAGCAGGCACGAAGGGATGGTGTCATGGACTGACTTGTGTCCCCCAAAAATATGTCTATCAATTTGGCTAGGCCATGATTCCCCGTATTGTGTGATGGTCCACCATTTTGTCATCTGATGTGATTTTCCTGTGTGTTGTAAATCCTGCCTCTATGATGTTAACGAGGTGGGGGATACGTGGCAGTAATGTTAATGAGGCAGGAC